AAATTGACGGATGTGCGTGACAATTAAAGGAAGTGGCTTCTTAAGTGGCCACATGAACCGTAGATCCACTAAAAAACAATAAAAATATCTCTTTATATCATTTTTTATACTGCCCTAAAGGACATTGTCTTTAAATCAAGATTAAGTTAAGGATAAAAAAAATTATATTTTAGATATTATGGTTATATATTTTTCGATAGGTATACATTTTTAAAGAATAACCCCCTTTATTCTAGAACCAGTTTCATTATTTAAACACAAATCCTTAATTGCTATGACTGACCAATGGTGACATGTGGCGTTGATAATTTATAAGACGATACACTCCCCTTTTCTATTTTATCTATTCAAAAGACCCTCTTCTTTTTAGTTTTTTCCCATAGTCGTGCCCAGGTATGGCTGACAATATGGGAACATGTTCTATTTTCTACTTGTCTATTGACAAAGCGCGGGAAAGTAGGGCATAGTGGTAAGTCTAAAGATATTTGATTCGTCCATATTGCGATTAAAATATTCATCAAGCGTAAGAAAGGGGTGAATTTAGGACAGGGTATACAGTTCATCGGATCATGTTAAAAGAGTTTTGTGTCTATTTCAGTCTATAAGTAAATATAATTTATATTTTTTGTTGGTATACAATATTTACCGAATAGGATAATAAAACTAAAAACTAAACTCAATTCATATTTGTGGCTCTTTGATATTTTTATTTTTAGCGGGTTATGATCAGAGATATAGAGGGGGGAGAATGAGCTTTAACAAACTCATAGCCGCCATTTTGAACCACGTATTCGAGGCGCAGTAAAAAATGTTGGTGTTTCTGCAATGCAATACAATACCTATATAAACACAACCAAATTACAAGTATACAAAAATTCAACTAAACCAAAGATATCGGTGTAGAAAACAGATAGAACTTATTATTATGTTTATGTACAGTACATAATGTACTTATAAACAGTGTTGTCATGAAAGTTCACGACCAAAAATTAAAAAATATCCGATGATACTCACAAGAGTAAAAAAAAATAGTTATATTTATAAATTTTTAGCCTATTGTGACAAATGAATTTAATTTTGTATATTAATCAAGAAGAATGGTAACAGAATAGAATATTAATAATTATGTAATTCAGTTAATATACAATATCATCTACTAAAAAATTTTAAGTTAGTATTTTGATCCAAATTATCAAAATACCCGCTGTAATATTTTATCCTCAAGCATGGCGAAAATCCCCGATTTTCGGGTAAAATAACCGCGAACGGCAACACTGCTTATAAAACTAATAACAAGCGACAGTGGCGGCCAATCAGAGATAGAGAAGTCTCTATTATCGACATCTAGTTCAAAATGTCAGCATTGAGCCTGTCGCCATAAAATTGGATGCGCAATGGTCCAAGCTTCTTCTCCCCCCTCTATGTCTCTGGTTATGATGTGATAAGTTTTGGTTTATATTCCCTTCACTTCCTTTGATATATGAGGAGCCCTTCAAAAATAAGAAAATGTGCAATGTGCAATCCTCATGTATATAATATACAGTGAATGTAATTACATTGCACTTTTCCGAGGAGCGAGCGTTTTTTTTACTTTGTCGCTCGCCGAGCAACAAAGTTATTTACTGTCGCTCGCCGAGCGACAAAGTTACTTACTGGTGCTCGCTTAGTTACCATGGAAACCGTAATAGAGAAATGTTTAGTGAATTTGCGACTTTTGACACAAACGTCAAATTTGAGGTTATCAATAATTATTAATTTTTGCCAAACATTCTTATAGAAACACCGGTTGTGGCCTACAACTTGTAGGAAAAATCCTGTGTGTAATTCGAGCGCAAAGTGACATTGCCACTCTCGCGAGATAGCCAAACTTCTCGCTCAGAGCGGCAATGTATCACTTTGCGCTCTTAATACACAAATAACTATTATAATATAATATATATATATTATTAGGTACTATGCTCCACACCTCAAAGTCCCACCACGTGACCACGTACGGAACGCAGTCTTTTGAAAATTTGGCATTTAAGGCTTTACAGGTTATGTATCTGTCAAAGTATAGTCAATGAAAGAAATAATATTTATAGTGTTACCGCTTATGTTTAAGCGTTAAAAGTTAATAAATCTTTATAGTATCACAATAACAATAGTTGGTTTAAGAATTTAGGAATATAAAAACTGCATTTAATGAATGTCCAAAGGTGCAATATAAGTTATATTTTTGTGCATTGGGTCTACATTTCTCCATAAAATAGTTTTAACTAAACAGCATTTATTAAAAAATATGTAACTTCTCTATTATGAAATAAGAATATCTGTATTAAAGGTAGGTTTATGTATTAGAACAAAAAATATCATCTAATTTTGTATTTTAAGGTTAGAAAAATCTATTTTGACCAAAATAAATAAGCGGATTATTTGGAAGAGTGTGTTAATATGGTCATAAATAAATATAGGTATACTATAATAATTGTATACTATAATAATTGTTGAAAATGGTTCAAATTAAATTGAAGCTTTTATACTTCTAATGACAAAACTTGTGCATACCTCTCAGCATACCTACTTTAAGTTAGATTATAAGAAAACAAACAATTTTTAGGGAAACTTGCAATGTGAAAATATTTAATACTCCCATGACATGTGATTTATTAAAATTTTTAAAGTTATAATGATTTTTCGATGTAGATCAAATTCAGTCGAAACTTTTTGACTAAGTATTTGTATTAACAAAACAAATGTAGGTACACTTTAAGCTGGATAAGAAAAACTACCACATTTTTAAATACCATATTATACAGTCTTTTAAATAATCCAAAATACTTATTTATTTTGGTCAAAATAAATTTTTCTAACCTTAAAATTAGATGATATTTTTGTTATAATATATTAACCTACCTTTAATACAGATATTCTTATTCCATAATAGAGAAGCTAGATTTTTTTAAATAAATGCTGTTTAGTTAAAATTATTTTATGGAAAAAACCAGATATTTGGACGAAATGCACAAAAATATTACTTATTTGGCACCATACACTTTAGAATTTCATTAAATGCATTATTTATATTCATAAATTCTTTAACCATCTATTGTTATTCTAATGTTATAAAGATTTATACATTTTTAACGCCTAAACTTAATATTATTTCTTTCTTTGACTATACTTTGACAGATACATAACCTGAAAAGCCTTAAATGCCAAGTTTTCAAAAGACTGCGTTCCGTACGTGGTCACGTGGTGGGACTTTGAGGTGTGGAGCATAGTACATTGGATATGTATAGGTTTTACATGTTGAAAATGCATTACAAAAGGAACATATTTCGTTTTACAATTTATAGAATATACAAATGTTGTGAGCTACCTCTTAAATAACAATTTTTGAATTTTTATATTCGTTGCTTTGCTAATAAAGCTCCTCATATATGTATAAAAAAATACATATCTGTCCTCGTTTTTTAATTATTTTTATTTGCCTTGTTAATTATTAAACTTTACCTAATTTTTGAATACAATTATTTTACTAGCACTTCTTTGCTATCCTGTATAATATTCATTAGTTGCGCATTAGTCTTTTGGACAGGTGTACCGCAAGAACCCTCTTGCAACCGTGGCTAATTTGAATTATCTCGATTAACTAGTTTGAGATGTTATTAGCAGGTATTCACAATTTTTTATATTAATATAAAAAATTGTGAATAGAACAATTGTTCTATGAACTATTGGTAGTACTTGTGTACAGTTAAGTAGGTATAGTTTGTGTAGAAAAATACGATGTTTTGTTTTGGATTAATAATTTTAAGGGTTGATAAAAGTTGGCCCCCTTTTGCCTTAATTTATTAAATTTGCAGGTGCTTTTCTGACGAATCTTGTTGATTTTAGTTGATTTTAAAAGGGGTAGCAAGTTTTTTTTTCTAAACTGACCTTTGTTGCTTTTAAATGTTTCATTTATAAATACAATTTTGGAATTTTTAAACATTTATCATTTTGACCGCACGAGTGTGGCAAATTTTAATCACTTCATTCACAATATTAAGAAATCCTTAAACACTAATGTGACCTAATTAAGGACCTGGTTATCAACTAAACTTAATTTATTAACGTGTTTATAGTTACGGGATATTGACCCCACTCAAAAAGGAACTTAATCCCCAAAACGACTAAATTTATTATCTATAAAAACTTTAAATCGCATTAACTATACTTCGAATTTGACCAGCTTAATCTTCATGCATTGATATCAAAATAATAATGAGCGCGTTTGTAGACAGGCATTTTTATTGGTGGGAAGTTTCCGTGTTACCGCTTGCAGCTGCTGACGCAGAAATACACCTTAATGTGGCCTTCTACTACCCTAGAATTATGAGGATTACGTAAAAGAGAAAAAGTTATAGTCAAGCTAGTCGTGGGAATATTTTTAAAATAATTTTTACAAATTAGAAAAAAGTTTACTTTGTGTGAAAACATATTTATATGCCTTAATTTAAGTTGCCTTGCCTAGACTTTACATTTTGCACGTGTTTTGATCAAAATTATTTATATTTTCTTATCTTTTTTATTTCAAGCAACAAACGTTCCAAACACATTTAAAGTAATAATGTGAAAATAAACAAGAAAATTTTGCAGATGTCATACCTAAACATCAATTAAATTAAACATCTGAAATCCTATTATATTTTTAGTTATATAAGCATTATAAAACCGCAAAACTATTATTTAGCTCTTAAAAACAATTAAATAATTAAGACTAATTTCACAATAATAATTGTTTTAACTACTCGTTCCACTTGCAAGATATGGTATATAAGCAAACTCCTAATGTGATGATTTATACCAGAATACTGCTATCGCCATATGGCACTCATGTCTGGCCAAGCAGGGGGCCTATCGAACTTAAATTGATTCCAGCTACAATACAACTATAATTACCCATCATAAATGTCCTTATTAATATTAAGACTTAATTAAACTTAAGGGTGTTAATGTTTTTTTAATTGTTTCAGCTATAGGAGAGATGATTCCGAAATTGATAACAGTGGTAACGAGGACTCTGACGAGTCAGGGGGTGGAGAAGAACTTAATTCGAGAAAGAAAAGTATTAACAAAGGACGATGGAGTAAAGAGGAGGTAAAAAAATACATTTTGCAGTAAAAAGACTTTTAGTTCCTCTCAAAGATTTAATACAAAAATTACAATGTCACTTTTTGCCAGAAATACCAGTTTTCCTTTAGGTAATAATACTTTACGGTTTGAAGTCTAATACTATATTTACAAGTTTAAGGTAGTTGTCGTGGTACAATATTGTCGAAAATTTTTAGATTATACGCACCGTAAAAGTATACGAGCTTGTAACTAAGTGATTCATAATTTTTTCGCAAGACTGTACCCTTGGAGACGTTACTTTTACGTAATACTTTCAAATATTTTCATAAGTTTTAATCCGGCAACGTCGCTTATGCTCAACCAATAGATATATTGGAGACTGAATCAGTCAGTTTAAATTTACTGCGAAAATAATATCTATACTCGCGTACAGCGTTGCTAAGTTGTTTTTATCTGACTCACTGGTATGTATATTTTTACAAATTGTTGAACTTTAAACAGTTTTTTATAAACAATTGGACGGTCAAAAATTTTGAACTATTTTTTTTAAAACTCAGAAAAAATACATTACAGTCAGCTTCCAGCACTTGAGAAGGGACCACGCGATAGCGAGTGCTCTTGAAACGTAAAAGTTTAAAGACTAAAACCAACAATAATTTTTAAAATGTGCAAACCAATTATAGTGAAACAAACAATTTTCATAGAGTGCAAACTAAACTAAACTAAAATGGTGCAACGGTCAAGAAAGAGTGAAGTGTTAAATGATGAATGAGTTAAGTGCCACCTGTCATTGGACGCTTTACACTGGACAAACAAAGGAGGTCAATCAAGCAGGGAGGTGGCCATCCGCAAAAAATATGATAAGTATCCTTAAGCATATTCATGACCTAACACATAATTTGCAATTTAAATTAAACACGACGATATCTTTAAAACTCAAGAAAGGCACACTGCGTAGACCAATAAAGCTGTCAACAACAAATAAGGCAAATCCAAACGAGACCAATAATAAACTAGGTACTGTAAATAGTATACAAAAGATTGTAAAATAAAAATACTTTTTCTAGGTTAAGTAACTATTTAGGGGAAATACATGCTAACAAGTAACAGTTACTTCGTAGAGCTCTTTATTAATTTAATACAATTTTAAATACAAATAACTAGAGGTCTCTGACTACTTCACTTCGATGTCATCTGGGTTACCGTACTTTGCACAAGCATGTCACTAAAATGGATTTTATTTAATTAAATTAGGAAAAAGGTTTTTTTTTTAAGCTACAGGATAAGAATTCTGCAATCCGAGGGGTTTAAACAAAGTCTAAATTAACCCTAAAATTCTGCACTGTGCAGAAAAATCTGCATTTCTGGCAACACGTGACCTTAGAGAAAGGAAGAAGGGAGGTGGAAAACGTGTAGTAGCTACGGTGGCTACGGGAATAAATGAGTGGTATTCTGTATTATCGATACTTTTATGTATGTTTAAAAATAAAATAAGACGTTATTATTGTATTTAGTATATCTTAATTCAGGTAGTATATTTTATCTAGAAACAATAATTAGCCATTTTTTGGTAACATAGAAACTACTTATTATTTTTTTAATATTTTCTTGATAGTTTCTATGAATATCATTACAATATTTTTGATAAGGAGATCTATTGAATGTTTTGTAAATTGACTTTCTATATTTTTAGCATAATCTATTCACGAAAAATCTACATTTTTACCAACATAAAGATTTAACTCAACCTAACTTTTTAATAATTAACTTTACCTTTTATTTAAAAAACGGCCCAATGTTTTAACAAAATAAAAAACGGCAAGACACTCTCTGAAACTAAAATAATATTATATATCTTCAACACTCCCACCAGTGCAAGTAGTCGTTCTCTTAATTTTAACAAGTGTCTTTCCCAGGAAAGGTTGTCATCAATGTAGAGGCCCAAGTATTTTAATACATTAGAGTATTGCAGGTTGTCATTTCCAAATACAATAGGTAATTGATCAACGAGCTTATAGAAAAAAAAGTAAGCCTTATTTGCCCTGGGTTTTCTCAGGTAATTTGTTAAAAAATATTAAAGAATTGACAAGAAATATTTTAAACAATGTTTTAAGATTTCAAAAATTCCATCCCCATATTCGCAAACCTAATAACAAAAAAGTTATAGGCTATTTTTGATTGATTTCTCAAATTTTAACGAAAATATTAATAACTCGAAAACTATTCATGGACATAGGACATGGTATAGTAATTTAACTCAGAATTTTATATAGAATTTAAAAATGTAAAAATATATGGGGTGTTCTATTTGAGAAAACAAAGTTGATGTCACTTCCGGTTAAACCGCTCTTAATATTTCAAATAGATATATTTTTTCTTTCCCCAGAAACTTTTAAGGTACCACGAATGTGAAACACCCTGTATAAGACCGTGCTGCTGGCGAAATCACAAGTGTACATACATAAACTTTTGAAATATTGACTTTGAGAAACTATTTAATAGGTACTTTTGTATTTGTGATAATACAATAATACAATAATTTGCACATTTAGTATTATTTGACAGGAAGGGCACTTTATTTTAACCATTGTATGACATTTAACAACTGTCAACTAACTTAAAGCTATTAAATAAAGCAGTTTAGTTTCTGCCCTATAACTCTAAAATGCAGTATATGCCATTAAAGATTAAATATATACTATACAGGGTGTTATGTAATTAATGTTATATATTAAAATGGGTTGTTCCTTAGGGTCCATAAAGAAGCACCTGAAACTTTTTTTTTCTAAATTCCAAAGTCTAAAAATAATTTATAATAACCTTTATCCTACCAAAAAGTACGCCACTGATCGACTAGGAACTTTAGGTTAATCTGGTGGATTTATTATGTTATGGTTGGTAACAGTGTTTCCAAAATCTCTCAAAAAAGTTGACAAACATTGTTTAAATTTAGCTTAATTACAAAAATGACAAAATTTACAATGCAAATTGTCAATTTGGCTTTTTTATTAATTGTTGGTTATTTCATTTTTGTACTGAAGGTAAATTCAAACAAAATCTGCCAACTTTTATGACAGAATCTAGTGCATTTCTTTTAAATTTTAGGTTATGTTTTCAAATTGTAAATATCTTAACTAAGGAAAGTGCTTTTGGATTTATTTACACAAATTAAATGTTTAAAGTTTAACCTGTGAACTGGTCCCAATTTCATCTAAATAAACAGAGAAAAAAACTGATGAAAAAATTAATTTTGTGGTTATGGATTTCAAATTTCAAAGGTACTAAATTTTCTAATCATTGCTTAAGCTAATAGCTGGATCAGTAAATAAATACAGAAGTGTATTAGAGCTTTAAGGGCATAAAACTTTTGTATTTATTGAGTTTTTATTTATTTTTTGCAAGAAAAATTTTTAGTAACAATTTTTTACATCTGGCAACGCATAGCTACTTTGTTGGTTGGTATCTATGTACTCACAAAATACAGGTGTGCAGAGATAAACAAGTGTGTAACCAGTGGCGTATCACAAAAAATATAAAAAACTTCTAATGCATATTTTTTCTTTATCTTTGGAAAAATGTTTTTTTAAATATTTTTCCTTTATTCCTTATGTCAAAAGGTATTCAGTATTTTAATATATAACATTAATTACTTATATTATATATTATATATTATATATTATAAGAGTATATTTAATCTTTGATTTCATGTTATTTTTAAATGTTTGTCAGTTAATATTAATTTTCGGTAACTATATATTTAAAAAATTTTGTTTTTTTTTTCAGGATGCTAGACTAAAGCAACTTGTTGACGAATACAACGAAAAATGGGATATAATCGCCTCCCATTTTAAAGACAGATCCGATGTGCAATGTCAGCAAAGGTGGACCAAAGTTGTCAACCCTGAACTTGTAAAAGGGCCCTGGACGAAAGAGGTAAGAAAACGTGCAATCATTAAAAACAATTCCTAAACACGACCCGCATGTGTGCAATTGGATTCATTCGGAATTCCTCTCCATAAATTTTCTCAACATGTGCTTACAACCGTGAAGGGATGTCACAACGTTTTAATATGTGTTTGTTTTACATTTAAACAGAATACAAATTAATTTGCAGGTATAAGTAAAGTTTAATAGTATCAAGTTAATGATACCTATTTATTATAGGGGTGAAAGGGTAATATTATTATCAGTTGTAATATCACTAGAGAGTGAGAATAAATTAAGAATAATTCGAGAGATTTTCGAAAACCTGTTGCCAGGTTATATAGAGCCCGAGGGACTCGAGTGTCTGTTGCCAAATGCCAGCAGGTTTGGGATAAGATCTGTTTTTTTTTTTCAATTTATCGCTCTCTGGTATTCTTTGAAATATTTGTTGACAATGCCTCAACAATAAAGACAAATGTCAAAAAAAACTTTAATAATAGTGCCACAATTTTTGGGTCATAGCTTCAAGCCCAAATGGGTCCAATACTAAATGAAAGTAGACCTGCAGACTAAGAAAACACTCGCAGGGTTTGGTGATAAGCTCGCACTTTTCTTCTTTATGACATTCTTTGTACTGTTTGCGACTTACAAGTCAATTAAATAAATGAATTAATAAATTAAACAAGCAGATTTAAGGATTGTATAAAAAAAGAAATATGGTTAATTCTGACCAGTGGCGGATCCATTGGTGCACTCCAACGTGGTTGTCGAGTCCGGACCCCCTATTCGGAAGTAGAAAAACAAAATTAGACATTTATTTATATTATCCAAAGAAAGTGCAGACATTTGTGCGAGGGGTAAACCACTCTAAAATCAGCGAGACCAACGTTTAACGTTATATGGATGTTGTGCTCTGATTTTTCCTTATTCGACCCAAATCAATCGTTATCAATAAGGAAAAATTCTTATCAATAAGAAATCTCTCCTAGCGACACGTTGCGCATGACTACCCTTGTAATTTTTTTCCTTAGCCGTTCATTTGTATGCATTTTATAATTTTAAAAAATCAGTGGTTTACCTCTCGCATTTTTGTTCCCTTCTCAAAATCCTGGATCCGCCCCTGAGCATGGCATATACAGGGTATGAGGGCAGTAACTTCAGGACACAATTCCTTACGATATTCTAAGATAAAAAGTTCATATAAACATATGTCCTAAAATGCTTCCTTACTGAGATATAGAGTGTTTTTATTGAAGCAAAAAAAATTGAATGATCATTATTGTATCTTTGTTTCGTATAGATGTAAAATTGAGCCTGTAAAAAAATGAGCTCTTAATTTCAAAATTAAGATGCTCCGCATCGCACTTTTTGATTTTCCATAAGAATAACATAGGAACAATTATTTTTGTTTCTTTTTATTTTTGTAACTAACGAACAATAGGTCGTACTGTAAAGTTCTTGACATATTTTTGTAGAGAATTGAACTCTACAAAAAAGGTTTCTTATGATTTTTTTGATAAATTTGATCCTTCTAAAGAAATTTAAGGTTTAAGTTCAAATTATACGAAATTTTTGGGTTTCTGAACTTTCTACCCGACTCATTTAAAAAAAATTGTAATATTTTTAGGTCTTGACGGGTCTTGAGTCATTTTTCGGTAAGTTAACTTGGTTAAAAGTTATTCAAGGTTAAAGTGAAATTAACCGTCAATTTAGTCGTTTTCTCGAAAAAACTCCTGGATTTTTTATTTCAAAGAGCTAAAAACGAATCAAAATATTGTTTTTGAGCTCCTGATATTTGGAAAAACATAACTATCGATATTACGATCTCGAAAAGCTCCATAAATAGCAACAGGGTAATTCTTTTTTCCAATTTTTTATGATGTAAATCAAAAGGCAAGCGGTTTTATTTATCTATTTTGGAGATCGTAATATCGATAGTTATGTTTTTCCGAATTTCCAGAGCTCAAAAACAATATTTCGATTCGTTTTTAGCCCTTTCAACTCAAAAATCTAGTAGTTTTTTCGAGAAAACGACTAAATTGAAGGTTAGTTTCACTTTAACCTTGAATAACTTTTAACCAAGTTAAATTACCGAAAAATGACTCTAGACCTTTTTTGTAGAGCGTTCTTCAATTTTTTAAATGAGTCGGGTAGACTCGCCAAAAAAGTTTAAAAAAAACCCAAAAATTTCGTATAATTTGAACTTTGACCTTAAATTTCTAAACCTTTTTTGTACAGCGTGCAATTCTCTTCAAAAATAAGTCAACTTTAACTTTAAAAAAAAGTATGGGAACCAAAAATAAAGCAACAGAAAACATGCAGTATGTTAAATGCCGTGAAAGTCTCAGAAGAGCAGAAAACAAAGATTATAAAACCATAAAAGCTATATGGATTGTCTAATTATTAAAAAAAAAACTTAGAATAAATAACAATACAAATGTGGTTTTTTTTTAAATAATTTACTTTAAAAACGAAATTATGGTAGCCCTATTGTACCATATTGTGACACATTAATAATTTTGGGTTTATTAAATAATATTTGCTATATTGCAAAACTGTGCGGTGAAAGTTAACAAAAATTTATTTAGCACTTGTACAGGTATAAGTGCATATAAGAAAAACAAATAATTAATTTTTGAATGTTAGCGCATATGATTTTTTATTCTATGCACTTAAACCTGTAGAATTGGCATATACCTACGTTTTTGTCAACATTTACACCAAAGTTTAGAAATAATAAACGATAACATCCTGTTTAGTCTTAGCAACTTTAATAACTTTTTACTTAAAAACCAGACGGTCAATCTTTCTAAAACTTCCCTAAGCAAAGAACAATGATGGCATTTTAAACGTAAAATGAAGGTTAAAATAAAGTAAATTAATATTTTCGAAGATTTTTAGCATGTGCGGCACAATTTTAAAAACTAGATTTTAAAATGTTTTATTATATAAGTAGGTAATATTTAACTTTGTACAGTTCGATTTTTAAAAGAAGTAACTTTCGTCATCCATTTACGGATCAAGTTCAGACATTGTTTTGTATTTCCACGCCCCGGCGCGCTAGCGATGAAGCGATGGCATACAGCGACACGTATGTCGAAAAACAGTTTAAATCTGTGACGAAAGTTACTTTTAAAAATCGAACTGTAGCTACCTGTATAAACAATAGATATACATAACACTCGCATCCCTGTTGGAATATTTTGTACAAAGGCAAGGCGCGCTGCGTAAAAGTGCATTGCCCTTTTTTCTCTCCGGCACTGTACAACAGAAAACAAAGTGGTGAGTGCAAGCAAGCAAGTACTCGGTGAGAACCAGTATGGTGGCCGTCATCCTTCTTGCTTGCTTTTCGAAAGGGGTTTCTTTTTATTCTTTGTTCCTTCGCGACGAATCCACGCTCGACTAAACATTCACATACTAAAGGGACGCGAAGAACATGAATGTTTGAAATGCGCAACAGAATAGAACATCTGATAGATGAACTTTTATCATATTAATGTAGTATTATTTTAAATTGCATTGCTTTTTTAATTTTTTACTTATTTGTTAAACAAAAAAACATGCTTAAAGAATGCTCAGCGGCGTTCGTCATTAACATTTAATATTTGGATTTTTTTTCAAATTGACAATATAAAACAATATAAATATTATAAAGAATTTTAAGAGAACAAACACCTTCATACTATATATAAATATGTTTTTCACCTTTTAATAAATTGCGCACACGTGGTTATGGTTTAGAATAATCGGGAAAGTTGCATACGGTGCTTTATCAGTAAGGTGACCAACTTTCTAAAATTAAAAACCAGGACACAACATGCCCCTCCTCGCCCTTCCAAAAAATGAACAAAATTTTTTTATTTAATGTTTATTATTTAAAAAAAAGATGTGCTAATAACGTTAATTATAAAAAAATTATCCTGAAGGTACTTCCAAATATTCAGATTTTTAAATTAATTTGTGTCCAGACCACTTTTAATAAAACAATTAGAACAAATCCTAAAAAAGTGAGAAAAACTCATAATTTTCAAACCAGGACATTAGGACGGTTGGTCACATTTAACAATACAGGTAAAATCCAATAGCCAGGGGCATTTCATTTTAAAAACCAAAGTTTACTTCTTACTCGAAATGCCAGGCCACCCACAATATACGTTCACACCCCTTGGAAATGATGCGACCTACTCAACGTATTAAAAAAACGTTTTTGACATTTTAAATTAATGACGCAATGTAAAACTTTTGCCGTTTCGACTATAGTATAGAAACGGCCAATGTTTTACATTGCGTCATCAATTTAATATGTCAAAACCGTTTTTTCGACATAGTATGTATGTATGTATGTATGTATGTATTACAGAGTCGGTCCGGCGTAATTTTAGGTTAGGTTGTCAGTAGCGTATCATTTCCACACGTGTATTAAAATGAATTCGCGGATATTAAATTGGCACAAATAGCTTTGCACATAATAGTAACGGATTTAAATATGATACTTGCTCTTTCTTAATTGACAAGGAGATGCTTTCAAAAGAAGTTCTAACGAATTTTTTTCTATTATCATTAATAGACACATTTCTAAGGTGTTTGAAAAGTTTTTAATGTTTAATAATGTATTATCTTCTCATTGCAAATATAAAACATGGTCCTGTTCAAAAGAAGTTCCTATTCAATTTAAGTAATATGAATACATGGTCAAAACTAGTCCCTCTAAATTAAAGTTTAAACACTACAATAGTATGTAATGGCTCATTTAAGTAATGACTCTCGTATTTCGTTAAATTCACGAAACCGGAAATGTCCCTCTTTTCCCTTGAATAAAAACTTAAGTGTCATAGTTCACAGAACAACAGACGTGCTACGCCATATGCCATTTTCTGTGCGCGCAATATGGCATCGGTAAGGCACCGTATTTAAACAAAAGCACATCAGGTGGCTAAATTAGCTAACTGGATGAATAACAATTGTGAGAAAAGCACGGAAGGGAAAAATTAACAATTAGAGCGTTTTTTTAATTATGTTGTTTTTTCTAGGAGGACGAAAAGGTGATAGAGCTGGTCAACAAGTACGGAGCCAAAAAATGGACTCTGATAGCGCGTCATCTAAAGGGCAGAATTGGAAAACAATGCAGGGAAAGATGGCACAACCATCTAAATCCGAAAATCAAAAAAAGCGCGTGGACCGAAACCGAGGACGACATAATATACCAGGCTCATAAAGTTTTGGGTAATCAATGGGCTAAAATCGCCAAGTTACTGCCGGGAAGGACAGACAATGCCATAAAAAACCACTGGAACTCTACGATGAGAAGAAAGTACGAAAACGAGAATAGAGAGAATGGCGATTCCAGAAGGGGGCGCAAAAAAGTTATTAAAATCATGGATAAAACCATGTACCAATATCAAAACAATCGCGAACCTGCCGTTATAGAGTGCAACTCCAACTCCAAAAACGACATGTACATGCAGGATCAAGATTGGGCTTTTGATTTGTATGATCAGGGCAGCAGTCAGTCAAGTGTAGGCGCATTTTCTGTCGGAGCTCCCACGCCAAGTCCAAGTCCCATTACCCCAACGCCTTCCTCACAATCCATCAATTTTGAAAGAACGAACCCCTCACCTCAGCCAGCTTTGCCTTCCTTTAGTTTTATCAATAATTACACTACTCCACCAAGTCCTGTGAAGCTGACGCCCATGGCTGACGATCATATTGCCGATTTTGATATGCACTTCTACAATTCACCCGGTATTAGTCCTTTGAAGGTTAACAGCCGGCAGTTTATCAAAGCCCGTAAGTGTTAGATATTTTTATTAACATTGACATTTTTTAAAAAGTTAATTAATGAAAGAATTTTAAATAAGATCAATAGATTTTTTTTTTATTATTAATAAAATTATACAAAAAGTTTGTGGTTAAAAGAATTAATCTTTCTTGGGATTTTTCTTTTAAATATTTTGCTGCGAAATTTTAATTTCAACAGTTTCCGAAACATTTAAAAAAAATTAAATTTTAAAACTACAGGTTGTACCAGAATTTTTGGATAAAAATCGGAAAATTACAGCATAATTAATTATAATTATTTACACTATTAGAATAACAAAATTATGCATCATATTAAAATTTCCTAGGGGGTGAAGGGGTATAAAAGAGAAAAATGCGTTACGTAATACGTAAGACCCCTAACTAAAAGTAACAAGAACATAATCAAGTATGTCCTGATCTAATATTAGAAATTGACAGAATAAGCATAAAAAAAGACATTACCAAATTAAAAATAGCTAAAATGTCGTTTCTGTATTGTCTAGTGTTCTAAAGAACACTCATTTTTAATACTTAGGTACCCAGAGAACCATATCAGGTTAAAACTTGGCCAAGAATTGCCCCTTCATCTTTGGAATTTTTTTGCCAATAACTGTACAATAAAGGACTTAATATTCCTATGATTTTTGTGCATTCGCGATGGCCAACAATAAACGATCAAATTGTGCCCAATAATATGCAAAAGCAATTTGGTTTAAGCACAGTCTGTGGGTTTAATTAGGTAGGTAACCTTTGGTTTAATTTTGGGAATGTTTGGGCATAGAAAAACGATGAAAGTTTTTTTATGTTTATTTCGCAAATAAAAATTGACCAAATATTTCATCCAGAGTATTTACAAGTATTATAATTATATTTAAAAGAATATTACTTTCTCGTTTACATTAAAATCTATTAATTTTTTGGAGAGTATTTGAAAATTGGGTAAATAAAACGGTAAACGGTTTAAAAATATAAAGTATTTCAATTTTTTAATTATAATAAATAAATTAAAATTTGTTAAAAAAACCAAAAAATATATAATTAAAAAACATTTTAAATAATAAAAATTGAAACAAAAAATATCGTTTTTTAAAAAGAATCCTAAGAAAAGTTTTTTAATTTGTTTTGTAAAATAAGGCTTTTCTTTGATTTCTGGCACGTTGCTTGGCGTTGTTTAAGGTCACGTCAAAGGACCTCTGAAACTCTACAGCCCCAGGATAAGGAAATCTTTCGTGTTCATGTAAACTCTCTATAAAACATACCTTTATATGTGTTAAAATATTATGAGACAAATATAATTACGATAAGGCTATCAAGAATTATGTTTTATTAAACATTAAAAACTTATTGTAAAATTGTTTGTGATTGGTAACTTTATATGTCATGAAGGACTTCTAAAATAAAAAAAATAAATCAATATTAAAATTCAATACAAAAATCACAATAATTATTACCTACCTTGCTCACTTTTGGCACAATAGATCATTAAACCCAATGTTTTTCTCTATGACATATAGGTAGAACATTTATTTCTTAATTAGCCTGCTTGTAGTATGCCTTGAACGCATAAACACTATTTACCCAGAAAAAGGCGGTTCTTTTTCTCCATAGACCAGTGCAGAAGCCTTTAAAAATGTTAAAAAGAGAAAAAAAATAACAGTAGGATGAAACCCATTGGAAAAGGAGGGGAATATAATAAAAACTAAAGGAAAAATAAATTACGGGCGATCTGAGTTCGGGAAGTGGGAGGGGGGGGTTTTAAGGGTAAAAAATGGTTTATCTCGATTTCCGGCAAATTTACAAGTCCTATGGAAAAAAGTTAAATGTCAAAGTTGTAGGTAATAAAAAGATCTACAACTTTTGTATTTACAATTTTTTTACATAACCTCAAAATTTATGTGAAAAATTCAAAAAACCAAGTTTTTGGTTTTTTATTTTTGTCTTTTTAAAAAAAAAAAATTTTTCCACGAAATTTGGTAAAAACTTACCTTTTTATGTTCCAAATACACTGTAATTTATTTGATTTGAAATATTTATTATATCGCCTTATTTTGACTTAATATCAAAAAAGCACCCTAATTTTCAATCGAAAATTCTCGCGTCAAAATATCAGCTTTTTTCAAAAAGTCGGTGTGCTTTTTGTTCGATGAACTCTCTACTTTCTGATGGTGTAAAAAAAATATACATTACTATGGTAAATGTTCTCAGAAAATACTAAAAAAATTATAATGAATAACGTAATCAGAATGAAGTATCTAAATTCAATAGTATGATTTACATGTATTTTTATATTTTATGAGATTTTCTGACATAAATGTTATTAGAATTTAATAAATAAACTTTTTAACTAAAAAAAATTGCAACAATCACATTTTTTTGATGAAATTGTACATAATGATTAAAATAAATTTTCGAATTCGAGTTTTTTTCGTTATTCATTATAATATTTTTTGCATTTTCTGAGAACATTTACCATAGTAATGTATATATTTTTTACACCATCAGAAAGTAGAGATTTCAACGAACAAAAAGCACACCGACTTTTTGAAAAAAGCTGATATTTTGACGCGAGAATTTTCGATTGAAAATTAGGGTGCTTTTTTGATATTAAGTCAAAATAAGGCGAAATAATAAATATTTCAAATTAAATAAATTACAGTGTATTTGGGACATAAAAAGGTAAGTTTTCACCAAATTTCGTGGAAAATTTTTTTTTTTTTGAAAAATATAAAAATAAAAAACCAAAAACTTGGTTTTTTGAATTTTTCACATAAATTTTGAGGTTATGTAAAAAAGTTGTAATTACAAAAGTTGTAGATCCTTTTATTACCTACAACTTTGCCATTTAATTTTTTTCCATAGGACTTGTAGTTTTGCCGGAAATCGAGATAAACCATTTTTTACCCTTAAAACCCCCCCCCCCCTCCCACTTCCCGAAGTCAGATCGCCCGTAATTTATTTTTCCTTTCATTTTTATTATATTCTTCTCCTTTTCCAATGGGTTTCATCCTACTGTTATTTTTTTTGGTTTCAAAAATTATCGACCCTGGTCTACCACTGCAACTTCATGCAACGAGATGAAAATCTATAACAATGAACAAAAAATAAGTAAATAATATAGAACTACCAATGTGAATTTATATTACTTCAAAATTAACGACGAAATAACAATCTTCGAAAAGTAAGAAATTTTTCAATAATTGAAAATATAACCTAAATTACTTACTCAAAATTTAAAGCTGTTTAAAACTTAACACACGTTTAGTTAGTGGGCGGATGATTATAATGTTTTTAAATAACTTTCACACAAGCACTTTTTGACGTATTTTTGTGGAGAAAAAGGTCTTAAAATATTGATTTACCTTTTACCACGCGACGCAACGTATAGAACTCGCTATTGCGCATATTAAACTGATTATTTTTCCATGCTGATTACAAACGCTTTGCCAATTTTAGACCAAACTTCATTACAAACGAAGTTGGCCAAAAATAACTATACTTAGGTACAACTCGCCAAATCTAGCTAGAGACTTTAAAAACTTTCAGTGCGCAAAACTTTAAAGAGAGAACGCATTCGGAAGAAAAGAGATGCCGATCTCGGCCGCACAGAGGACTAATAAAGGTTTTTAATATAAACATTATTAAAGTTATTTAAGAGTAAATTTTCGATTTATTTATACAATTTGAATAGAATTATATGTATTTAAGGTAAACAAGAATTTCTTATAAAGTTAAGGTAAGTATGTTTAAAAGAGGTAACATTAATGCAAATAAAAATAGCTTATAATCCTTTTGAACATTTGTGTTAGGGTTAGGTATGTTTTTATTGATATAAGTATTAACAAATGATGGTAAATTGACAATTATTTTTAAAGAGCCTAGTAGTGAGTAATCCACTGTGTTGAGCGTTCTTTATCCTAAGGCAAACTCAATTCAAATGACAATTTTAAGAGCTGGCATCTGCGCATCGATGGTCTTGTACATTCCACGTCTCTAGCTGATTCGCCAAGCTGTAAGTCTTTATTTTCAAGCAGTTTCTTTCCCAAAACTTGGTTCTCTAGGTAACTTAGAAACGAAAACCCGTAGAGCATAACTTTATATAAAAAAACTATTATTTTTATTAAGAACCTTACAATCACGTTCGAGTACTCGTCATAGTTAGTCGCGCTCTTGAAAAAGTGCAAATAGTTTGTAGTGTGGCAACTACTGTGTGTAGACCACCCTACGGTCAAGGAAGTGATGAAGTGGAGGTGTAGAGTGACACCTTACGGGTGGTCGACCGCGGTCTAGCCACGCATTTGGATGCTTTTCACGAGACAAACAAAAGAGGATAACCAAGGCAATTTGCAATTCTAGTTAAGTAACCTTAAACATCTACTACCTAATATATTATTTGCCACCATGACAGGTACCTCGAAAAACCCTAAATGGGGCACTTTTCGCTTAAACATGAGAAAAAGTAACCAAAAAAAATAAATAAAAATAAACAAAGTGCACCAGTAATATTAAGACAATAGTAACAAAACAACAACATAAAAAAACTCTTAACTCGGTCACAGGAAAGCTGACTAGGACAATAAATCTATGAATAACAAACGACCAAGACTAAACCCATAAATTAAAGAAAACGGCCCAAACAAAAAACGAACGATACCAAATAAACACTTCAAATCCAAACGAACATTACATTAAGAAAACATAAACACAAAATATAAACACACAAACCGAATTCCAATGGAATTGGTAATTACATTAGTATACAGTGGAAGTCAAAAATACCTCCCACCGGTAACTGTCTAATCGCATCAATTGCATACCAACTGTTTAATACAAAGATAGGATTGAAACGCGAAAGAAAACAGCCGAGGCAAGACAATAACAAGTGCAGGAACAACCCGACACGGACAGATACAATAACGGTCAAGACGTTGACCACGACCAGTAAACTAGGCCCCTGCAGCGAACTCAAACAGTATTCCCAAATGTTTGGAGTAATACTAACTTCCCGCGCCGTATTTAGATTTTTTTTTTTTTTTATTTATTTATTTACCCAAAAAGACCAAAGGTCCATAACAAGTAAAATACAATATAAAAATGTAGTGATTGTAACAAGTTTATACAATATATAATTCACTTAATACTCTGTATTGTAGTTTCTTTCTTCAATTATTAGATTTTTTACAGCCCGCTGGAAAGCATTGATATTTGTTTGGTTCTTAATTTCATTTGGAAGTTCATTGTATAGTTGAGCTGCATTTCTAGTTAGACTTTTTCTACCAGTATTACATGTATTAGGAAGTATAAATATATCATATCGATTTCTTGTAGGATAGTTATGAATATCACAGTTATTTTTCAGGTTTATACTGGATTCAATTAAATTGTTTTTTATTTTGTAGATAAGTTTAACACTGTCAAGTTTTATCATCTCATTTATTGTTAGTAAGTTAAGTTCATTATAAAGGTCTTTTGTATGTGTCCTATGATGCTTGCAGTACAGAACTTTTATTACACGATTTTGAGTTGTTTGTATTCTTTTAATATCAGTTTTTCGGGATTGACCCCAGAATGCGCATAGATAATTTAAGATGGAGTGGATATAAGCATAGTATATGGTATATCTTGTTTGTTTGTTAAAATATTGTGCATTTCGTTTTAAGTAGTAGCTTATGTTGTTAATCTTTTTTCTAATATTATCAATATGCTTTTCAAAGTTGAGTTTATTGTCTATTGTAAGTCCTAAATAGCAAAACTGGTCTACTTCCCTAATATTTTTATCACAATTTTTAATTGGTACAGGTTATCACAGTTAGGTTTATTAAATGTCATATATACACACTTACTTTCATTTAGCTTGATTTTATTGTTTTTTGTCCACTTATTGATTTTTTCGAGATCGTTTTGAGCTTTGCTGAAGATTGTGTCTATTTCCCCATCATAGAAAATAACAGTATCGTCTGCATATAACACTATATTACCACTAATATCACAGTTTTTAATGTCATTTATATATATTAAGAACAGTAGTGGACCTAAGACTGAGCCCTGTGGGACTCCATATTTGACTAGATTTTTATCACTTGTTGTGTTGTTGCACACTGTATATTGCAGTCTGTTTTTTAAGTAGCTTGCAAAAATATGGTGATTTTTTCCTCTTATGCCAAGTAGTTCAAGTTTTTTTAGAAGTATCTTGTGATCAACCACATCGAAGGCTTTGCATAGGTCTAAAAAAATTGCTAGTACTGATCGTTTTTTATCAACATTCTCATAGATATAGTCCATTGCAGTGGCAATGGCAGTTTGGGTACTCTTCCGGTCTAAGAAGCCGTGTTGTTGACTAGTATCAAATTCTATTTCTCTTAGGTAGTTTAGCAGTCTTTTCTTTAGTACAGTTTCCATTATTTTAGCCAGGGATGATATTACAGTTATTGGGCGATAGTTAGAGGCTATATGTTTTGGTCCACTTTTATGTATAGGGGTTATTCTTCCAATTTTTAAAATGTCTGGAAAAGTACCGTTTTTTAAGTGTTTGTTTATTGTTGTTGATATATATGGTGATATTATGTCTTTAAGTGATTTGAGTCGGCGTAATTGTCCCCCAAACACCAAACTCTCTATCCCTCCCATCCTACCTCCTTCATGATCCTACTGGGCGTATAGCATCGGTCCGGCGAACCCGGGAATGGCTATTAAAACTATTGGCATTTCGCTCTCGAGTCCCAAATAAGGTACAGTTCGGGGCGCAATGGACATACGCACCCAGCAAGCACGGGTGAAGCCGTGTCGGTGCTGGTGGCGGAAAAATCGGCGTAAGGTAACAGAGGCCTGTGCGGGGTCCGGGAGTGATGAGGCAATGGGGTCGGTTATACGTCTCTTATACTCATACTCATTTTTATTAAGAACCTTACTATTAAATTTTCTTCCAATCTTTCTGGTACTTCACACCCAAAAGACCCACAAACCAACAAAAAAATTAATATTTTTAATCAATGCAATGGTTTGAACATTGAAAACATTATATTTCTTGTTTTCAAGCACTTTATTTGAAACTGTTTAAAACGCTTGTTTAAAATATTTTGTGTTAAACATGCCAACCCTGGTCAAGAAGTCAATAATATTTGCATAATTATATTATCCAATTCATCATTTATTTCTTTTTTAGGTGTAGTGCTCCCCACCTACTCCCAAAACACTCTAGTACCTGTCACTAACGCGTTGAGCATTCAGCGCGCCTCCACGCCACCCATCTTGCGACGAGGTAACAAATTACGAAAGCGGCGAGAAAGTCAAGACTTCAACGTTTACCCAATGACAACAACGACGGCGGTCACGACGAACGAAATCGAATCACGGATCCCTGTCACCTCCGATGCAGACTTCGCGCTCGACAGCGGCGCTAAGCCTACGATGATGTCGCCGCTGCGAAACGGCAATTCGCCCATCAAACAGTTGCCGTTCAGCCCGTCTCAGTTCTTCTATGGAACGCATTTGACGTTTGACGTGCAGCTGTCATCGACGCCTGTTAAGAGAATACCGCAAGTGGGCACTCCCAAGTCTTCCAGACATGTAAGAACAATTTTAAATTATATTTGTTTTTGTTTATTCTGCATATCTGTTTTAAAGTATATCACTAGTAGTATTTATTCTTTTTTTTATTTAGGAAAGGGATTACAGTCCTTTAAGCACCCCGCACAGGATGTCGACACAACCTATAACCTCAGAAGCGTCGACCTCAGAGTCAGTGACGCCGAACAAGCGCTTCTTGACCGGCGATACTCCACGAACACCCACACCGTTCAAAAAAGCTCTTGCCGATATCGCAAAGAAATCTGGACCCATTTCGGATTTACCTGATACCCCCACAAGGCTTGAAGACATCACAGAAATTATGAAAAAGGAGCAGGATAGCTCCAACTACGAAACTGACACTAGCATGATGGTCCAGGTATTTACATTTTTTTGTGAATTTTAATTGTATAAAATATATTTGTTTATTAAGGTATAGCCATATTATCAATATTTACAGGGTGATCCCCTATACCTAATGTCGCCCCCCTTTAACTTTTTTATTTTAAGTGTACGAAAAAAGTGTGGTTATGTAGGAACTAAAAAATACTTTTTTTCTACCTATAAAGAAAATTGGAAAATTGATCAGTATACAGGGAAAAACAAAAAGTTTATTTTTTTTCAATGGATCACCCTATATATGTATTTATTTTTCAATTCCTTGTAAAATTCTAAGCATATTTCATATAACATATCATATACCTAAATTCAACCGTTTCTGAAATTTTTAATTATTTTTAAGATAATGTAAGTTGAAATAGTTTGTCTTTCTCTGTCTGAGTAGGCCATTTTTACTTATTTAACAAGAAATATTGACATAATGTCACTATAATAATTTATTTTCCATAAAAATTTTGGTATAGTAAGGCTTCTTGATTTCTAACAGTTTAAAAAAACAATTAATGATAACATTTCGAATCCGAATATTTCAGAAACAGTTGAATTTAGGATATGGTTTGTTATATGAATTATGTTCAGAATTTTACAAGGAATCAAAAAATAAATTCATATATAGGGTAATCCATCCATTGAAAAAATAAACTTTTTGTTTTTCCCTATATATTGATCAATTTTTAATTTTTTTTATAGGTAGAAAAAAAGTATTTTTTAGTACCTACATAACCACACTTTTAAATTTTTTCGGACACTAGGGTGCTTCAAAAAATAAAATTTAATTTAACGTAAAAAAAAATATTAATATTTTTTTTGATGGTTTTTTTCGGTTTCTAAATTATTTGAAAATATATTGACTCACAAGTTCACGCTTTTAATCGAAAATAATTATTCTGAGCCTGTAGAGCGTGAAAAAGGATGGTACAATTTTGGAAAACTTTTCATATGCTCATTTTTTGGGTACCCCATTAAAATTAAATTTTATTTTTTGAAGCACCCTAATGTACACTATAAACAAACAAAAAGCAGGAGTAAATATATTTTTTTTTGTTTCTTTTGTAAAAGTAATTTTTTTAAGCGTTTCACTGGAAACGAGAAAATATTGACTGAATTCAAAGCACTTTGCAGTAAATTGAAGATGCTCCACACCTCAAAGTCCCACCACGTAACTACGTACGGAACGCAGTCTTTTAAAAATGTCGCATTTAAGGCTTTTCAGGTTATGTATCTGTCAAAGTATAGTCAATAAAAGAAATAATTATACTGTTTCTGCTTATGTTTAAGCGTTAAAAGTTAATCAATCTTTATAGTATCACAATAACAATGGTTGGTTTAAGAATTTAGGAATATAAATACTGCATTTAATGAAATTCTAAAGTGTATGGTGCCCCATAGGTAATATTTTTATGCATTTGTTCTACACTTCGCCTCGGGCATCATGACGCGCAAAGTTGAATTTTCAGCCCTTGTAGTGTAATATACTATTTCTTCATACCTTGTTCGAAGGTACTTACTTTCGTCCCTAAGAGCAGGGACGAAAGTTTAACATTTACTCCCTGTGCTATTAGGGACGAAAGTACTTACTTTTTTGCGAGGTAAACTTTCGTCCCTGCTATTAGAGACGAAATTCGGTCGAAAGTACTTATTTAAGTAAGTACTTTCGACCGATGTATGAAGAAAAATAGTATACACTAGACTGGGCCAAAAAAATTGACTAATTTTTTTTTTGAAAAATATATCGAGAATGTCATTCAGAATGACAAAAAAAATATTTCGTGAAAATTTGAGCCCTTAATATTAATTTTAAGAGGTCTATCATCGCTATTTTTGATTTTTAGTCATAATTTGATGTTTTACGTTAGAACTGTCAAAACATTAAACTGAAAAAAATTCCTTGTCACTTATTTTTATATAAAATTAAATTCTCTACAAAAAAGGTCTGCTTGAAAATTTTCGTCAGACGAGCCGTTTCCGAGTAATTGAGCTTAATAAATCGATGTGTTTTTTCGATTTGCCCTTTTTACTTTGAAATTTTGTAACTAATGAATCAATGAATATTTTAAAAAGCTCACGTCGGATTCTTAAAGGAAATTTAGTGTTCTACAAAAAAGGTCTCTTAACATTTTTGCCTAAATTTAATCCTTCAAAAGTTATTCACGAAGAAAAAATTGAAATTTTAAGTTTTTCTTCGATTTTAATCGTGAATAACTTTTGAAGAATTAAATTTAGGCAAAAATGTTAAGAGACCTTTTTTGTAGAACATTAAATTTCCTTTAAGAATCCGACGTGAGCTTTTTTAAATATTCATTGATTCATTAGCTACAAAATTTCAAAGTAAAAAGGGCAAATCGAAAAAACACATCGATTTATTAAGCTCAATTACTCGGAAACGGCTCGTCTGACGAAAATTTTCAATCAGACCTTTTTTGTAGAGAATTTAATTTTATATAAAAATAAGTGAATAGTATATTAAAGTACAAGTTGCACAAGGCCACATATTCTCGCACGAATTCGAAATTTGGCCTCGAGCGACGAAGGAGCGAGTGGACGAACGAATGAGTGCGAGAATAGCCTTCTGCAACGTGTGATTTATACTATTTTCTCGATTTTAACTTTTATTTAGGTTTTTTTAATTGTTTTGTGGTCGTTGTTAGTTAGGGGATTTTTCTCGCAAAATGTCAGTTGGCAACACAAAATGACAATATTTGTTATCCTGGGGTGCGTTCATATATTACGCTCTGTGTCACATTTTTGTGTTTGGGTGACCCAAATGCGTTCATAAATTAGGTTGGTGTCTACTGGTCGCACAAAGTTGTCGTTCATAAATTTACCAAAAAAGTCGCTCGAGTGTTCTCGATTCGCCGCTTTCAATATACCGGTGAAAAACACTCGACATGCGCATTGCACATTTTTTCTTGATTTTAAAATAACGGTCTTTTACACAAAACATAACCTCCATACCATAGAGGGATGTGTGGTCTACGTTTTCGTACTTTTTTCAATATATAGGTATAGGGCCATTCCACGCTTAACGGATAGGACAGTTGCCGTGTTTTTATTTGCAAAATAATATTTTTCTATTATAAAGGGTGTCCACTTAAGAGTGCTCTAACTTTAAAATGAAATAAAACAAACTACACTTAAGATATTAGGAAAAATATATATTTATTTAAAAGAACATCCTATGGCATTAATTATGAAAAATAACATCTTTCAAATGCCCCCGCGGCTGCGCTCCACAGCGCGCATTCAGCAGGTCAAATTTTCCATCACTTTTTCGCACATTTCGGGTTCGATTTCATTTATTATACGAGTAATGTTGGCCTTCAGTGCTTCAATTGTTCGTGGCTTATTTTCGTACACAAGGGACTTTACGTAGCCCCACAAAAAAGTCCAGCGGCGTTAGATCGCATGATCTCGTTGGCCACTGGATATCGCCGCCGCGTGAAATGACGCCGTTGAAACTTTTGGCGAATTAAACATTGATTTTGTTGGTAAATTTGAATAATTTGAATGCGTTGAGCAACCGTGTAACGCTCCATTATCAAATGTCATAATATGCCAACAAAACTTAAAAATATTTGACTGCAGTGTCTGTACTGACTTAGCCATAGCCGCCTATCAAACATCGAGCGTACCTAATTGGACACCCTTTATTACCAATGTCAAATTTTTATAAATAGTTCTAAACTAAAGCTGTTTAACAAGGTTTTTATTTGGCAAAATTAGGTATCGTGATTGACTGTTTAATTCCTTAAAAATTAATAATTTAAAGCGTAACGGACGGGACTATTACGAAGTGAGGTTATAATATTTTGACAAATGACAACTGTTTTTTGAGTCACCCAAACCCGTTCAAAAACTTTGCGTCACTCTGAGCACACTCTGTGCATAAATCGCATCGCTCGAACCTCACATCACTCACCAACAAATTTATTTTATGAACGCACCCCTGCACAAGTACAACCTGAACTGCACTTTTACACATTAAACTTAAAATTTTGCATTAAAATGCATTGTTGGAGCAAACTTTATATTACAAAACAATAATAAAGGCTTCATTTTCAATAAAAGTAATGAATTTGAGGTTATTAATCAGTTTGACATTTTGGGGGGTACCAATACTTAAAAACTAAATGTTACCAAAAATCGTTTAAGAATGAGCTTCATTCTTCAACGATTTTGCGTGCGAGAATATGACATTCTTACATAAAAATCGAGAAAAGGATTTTTTCACTTTAATGTTTTGACAGTTCTAACGTAAAACATCAAATTATGACTAAAAATCAAAAATAGCGATGATAGACCTCTTAAAATTAATATTAAGGGCTCAAATTTTCACGAAATTTTTTATTTTTCATTCTGAATCGCATTCTCGATATATTTTTCAAAAAAAAAAATAGTCAATTTTTTTGGCCCAGTCTAGTATACACCACACGGGCCAAACGTTGAAATTTCGGTCCTGCGCGTCATGATGCCCTCGGCTTCGCATGGGGCATCATGACGCGCAGGGCCGAAAATTCTAGTATACTTTTTTTACTATTGTACCTGCTATGGAATGCTTTTTCGATCTTTACTTTGCTACAGTTAAATTGACGAATTTCATCCATTATGTCACTAGCGTGCCCGTAAACTGCGAATATAATAACATTTAAAATTGGTAAAAAGTAAGGTTAACCATTTGACAGATGTCAGATTTTATTTATTTATTTTTGAAAAACATTTCATTATATAGGTACTTATTAAAGTAGATAAAGTATAGTATTACACTCAAGATTATGCGCATTATTCACTCGGATGATTGAAGTCTCTCGTCTGGAGACTCGTGAATAATAGCCTGCATTATTTCTCATAGTAATATATCATTATTTGCCCACACTGTCATATACGGTGTTGTTTTTACTGTTTATTATTAATTACTCTCCATCTTGAAACGTTCTCTTCCACTTAATACTTTTTAAATTTAAATCCTTGACTCAAGTATAG